TAAATTTGGTGCTTCCGTTGTTTGTGCACCAAGATGGCGCACAACCTGAACATAGTATTGTAACAGGTTAGGGTTCAGGTTGTGCGTCATTATGGTGCACAGATTTAATGAAAAACACTAATACAAATATCGAGCCGTAAAAAAAATTGCTCAAGGCTGCAAACTCCACACCCATGTAGAAATGATGGGCAATAACCCCAAGATGAATAATCACAAATAAAAAAAACTTTATGTCTGAAAACGAGGTTGAGCCCAAAAAGGCCCCTTATCTGCCGGACTAGTAAGATATTTAAATTTCTTAGAGAAATGAATAAAAGTGATGAGCTAATATGTCATCGCTGTTGGCATTCTAGAATCAATTATCAAAACTGATTTGGGTCACAGTTTTCAGATGAAATTTGAAACCGAATGGAACATCTATATAAAATATTGGGTCTTTGTAAATCATTCTAAAAAAAAAATCTAGAAAATGAATGCTTCGAGAAACATAAATCTTGGTGTTTATAATGAAAAAAATTCGGGAGAGGCCGCACCAACTATATCGATTCAATCATTTTAGTGAACTTCGCTGTTGTCGATGTAACTTCGAAACTCAGACTTCGAGTTCTTGACATATCAGTAGTCCAACCAACTGCTGTAATTATGAAATTTTCAAAAGCAATCCGACCCGGGTAAATTCAGATTGTTTCAACCTTGTTTATTCATCACTATTAGTGTCATCTTGTGTCAAGCCCCATTCATAGAGATTATATGAAACGCATCATTTGATAACTGAAAAATTCTATTTTAAAAAAATCATATATTTAAAAGATGACTATACGTTGTTTATGATATCTGACACTCTCTGTTATTACTAATCGAAATTACAGGATTTTTTCAAATTTGTTGTTCGTGTCAAGTTACTACATATAGGCGTAGCATGAAATGTTTGTCCAAACTTCAAAATATTTATAAAAATACTAAACATGAAAGAGTATTTTGAAAAAAATATATGCAGCGAATGCCAAAATTTGCTGATTTCAAAATTGCACTTCTTGCTGCCTATCACAGTTTTTGTTTAAAAGTGTAGTAAAACGGAACAAATTCGATAATCTATGTAAATTGTAACATTGGGACTTGTTGACAATGAAACAAACTTCTCAGCATTCAATATCTGTACTTTAAAAGTTTTCGTATAACATGTGATCACATGCGAATACTGACGTACAAATTTCAACAACAGCGTATTTTAGCTAAAACAAGACTTGGCACGTTTTACTTCTTTTCTCTTTTCCAATTTTGAATCCATTATTGCAAATAATGTCACAATCGTTTTCTCATGCTATTACATATTATATTGAAAAACGAACGGACTTTTATTTTGCGTCATATTTCGAAGATTTGTCACATCATAATGCGATAAGACGCATTATAGAAATTTGATCGTTTCTATTTTCATACTGCCAATAAAATAATATCAATTTTACCTTAATTTTGCGGTAAACCAATTGTAGTACAGTTTTAAGGTGTGTTGCTAGTTAATTCTCCATAATAGAATCTTTTTAATGATAAAGAGCATAACTATGCGAAGCCACAACATAATCTTAAAGTTGGCAACACCATTTCCAAACGACCACACAGTTACTGATATTTTTAGTGTGAAAAACCTATATTTTTCACAGGGTATTTTTAATGATGAAAGTCTGTAGTCAACAATGTTGGTGGTTACGTGAGAAGTATTTTATATTATTTTTAGCTTCTTCGTGGTAAATAATAGATTTGGGGTTTTTACGGAGACAAAATAAGCAATTTTATATTTGAAACTGAAAGTAATGAACGTTTAACTTATTTTTATATTAGAAAAATATATTTGTGGTATACGATTATATCAATCACGGACGAAGTGACATTATTGTCAGGCAGCTACCAATACGCAGAGTCCGAATATCTACCCACTATCAGACAGGCAGGATGAGGGAACTAGATAAGTAGGTCTCCTTGAGCTTATATTGTTATATCAAACTGGGAGATATATAGACATGTGTGATGACAGAAAAGGTAGAATTGGTGTACTAAGTTAGTTTTCTTCATATATGCACCAAATTTAGAAGCGACAAAATACTGTTTACTGTTTGTTTACAAAATGTAGCGATTTATTTGTTATCACAAGTTCTGTGTCATGGTCTGACTATAACGGGGGGCGGTATTGCTCACAAAAATATCACAGTGAAATTAAGATTTATTCATTCGTTATAATATGAGGTTTCTCGATAAAATGATACATGAAGATGTTTGATACATAAAATATAAGAAATACCTGTCAAATTTTGCTATTTCAAACAACCTCTGCTTTCTTCGAATTAGAGAAAGAAACAAACTTCAACTTTTCATGTAAATTCAGTTATACGTTGACAAGTAGTAGCAATACTTGAGATACATATCTCAAGAACACAGGAAAGTATTTTTTCCAGACATTTTAGCAGAGTTTATAATTTACACATATTGTTTATTATTGTTACATATATGGTAAATTCCCACATATTTCCGAGCAACCGTTGTTACTTGAACAATCATTCATCAAATTTGGTTTCATTATCAAGTGGTTATGATGAGAAGCGCTAATTTGAAGCAAAGTTTTGGCATGCTTGGAAGCGTTACCAAATGTTCCTCTATTTCTCTTTGCCCACAAATATATCTAAGATATACATCGCCAGTATTAAATAATTTTAAGTTTTTATTGTATAGAAGTGAAAATCTTATTAGATATCTAAATCAAAAGTACTTGGCTATTAATCAGCTTTAAGAACTTGTTTACTCAAGTGAAAAGTAGCAATATATTTTATATGTATAATTATCTGAAATATTGATTGAATTTTTGTGTCATAGCGATAATTGAATTCCAAGTTTTCCCTAACAAATTTTGGATTTTCGATGTCGTTGAAACAAACCAGTTATAAAAGCGTGAGCTTTACATTATACATCTTTGTTCCGTAATGTATTAATACACTAACAAATTAATCAGAAAATATACCAAACACAACTATTTTGATCAAGTTTGTCTGTGTTTACAAACCCTTGACACCGTATAATTTTGCGTCGATTTTAAATAATTCGATCGACATCAAAGGTTGATTTAAGAAAATCACTGAATTGAAATACTTTCATGACTCAAATGTTATTAATTTTAGTTTACTGAAGCAGTGTTGCTAGTTGTATCCATCCTAGTACCCCCTCCCCCCATGCCTGCTTACATAGAGACCCAGTTTTAGTAATTTTGTGGAACGTGATGAAAAAGTTGATTTAGCACGCTGCGTTCTGACAAATTATTTCGAGGTAAAATTGAGAAATATAATAATGAAAACATCTTCAAGATAATGACATAATGACGTTACGAATACGTCAAAAAAGCAAGGACTATAGTGATTCATATTTGTTTGACAACAGGAGTCATATTTTGATATGGTCGTTCAACGATTGTATGCACCCATTACTTATCATGGTGTTTACTGCTTTGGAAATACTATTGTGTTACGAGATAAAGTTTTCATTTTTTTAAATCCTGATTAATAAGGTGTTGTTAGCATAATTTCTTTAATTCCAGTGTTTAAAATAATTCGATCACATTACTTGAAAATGAATATATACTGATTTTCCAAAGCTTGAAAACTCGGGTTTACTTTTTATTGTCGACAGCAGGAATGGAAATTGTACGTAATGACGACCGTTTGCTAACACGTACTTATGTCTTAGTGTTGTTGATATTTCCTTTTTCATGACAATTCTGTCAGCTAGCAACAATTGATGTGAGTTTACAAAATTGTACAGGAAATTCTTTTCGTTGAACAAGATGTATGATGATGAAGGTTTAAGCTTGTTGCATAATTATCTCTGACATGCAAACAACAAACAATAGGATAAAACCCTTTGTATAATATTAGATTTCACAGTCAATGAATAATAAATGGTAGCTTCTAAACGAGCAGAGAAAAGCCGTAACGTGATTTTGGAGATGCATCAATAAGGTAAACGCATTCCAAAGGTTCCGTCGCCATTTAAAATAGCCTTGTATATTACGCGAAGCATTAGACGAATATATGCGATATCGGGAGGTTAAGAGAAAATTTAGATATAATTTCCCGGTAGTTCACATTAGACTTCTGTGGAATTGAGCGCGCTTTACTTACCATCTACGGAACATGCCTGATAAATTAGTCTCTATAGTGGCCATGCTTAGTGATGATATTCAGATTAGAAATCGATATTAAGTGATTTGATATACTTGATTTCATTTTTCTTTTGAGCAGTTTATATGTGGTTGTGAATGGTAAGGTCTCTAAGCTATGTTGAATAAAACAAAAACGTTGACAAAACGCTTGACAATTTAATAAAGTTCCAAGCAGAAGAAGCGCACTTAGTTTTAAAAACTTTCAAGTGCCGCTCACAAATATGAATATAAAAATTATGGTACTTCGATTAAAATTAATTTCTAAATTGTTTCAAGCTGATTCAAGTATGAAGCATTATTTTGGAAGTCACTTCGGGCAGTTTAGAGGTCATGGCGGCCAGACGATCAGTGTTAGGTTTCAAAGGAAATTTTCGTCCCCTTTAACATAATCACAGATATAACAAAAACACGAGAGTGTCGCAAGACGATGTTACAGTAAATGGATCAGTAGAACACCCTAAAGCTATTTTTATTCTCGTGGCTTAGAATCTGACGTACAAATTTGGGTTTGTCGTAACAATCGAAGGAGTATTGCAGAAATGGGTTATGATATGAGCTGACTAAAGATTTGTAAAGTAGTGTTTTAAATCTTATTGCGATTATTGCATTTACCTCATTATATGATTTTTGTGCTCAGTTTATTGTAGAAATAACTAGATATCCCATTTTAGACTATTTAGAATATTTCAAACTGCCCTATAATTGAATTAGATCTTATATAAAAATGAAAAAAATTTTTAAAAAAATTTTTTGGTTTAAGCACTGATAGACAAAACATGGCTTTTCGAAGAACCGAATGAAAAAATTGGATCCCTCATTGCTTTCGCGTTTAATTTACTATATAAATTTAATAAATAACTCTTTCAAATTAAGAACTTTCATTTTGTTTTTAGTAAATGAGTTTATTATACTGTTAGTCTGATATACTTTGATGTTCTTTTGAAACGAGTGTTGTAGAAAGATGACCGCAAACGAATCAGAGGTAAGGTATTGGGACGCGGGTATTATAGGAGTAGAAGAAAGGTGTTCAAATTCAAATAAGTTTGATTCAAAGCCAGAATTGTCAACGATGAATTATGAGGTACCAACTGTGCCTGACGAAACATTTCAGAACTCGAAAATTAACCACAATAAAAACGGCATAATCGAAACAAATGTACGCGACACCTTCGACGAAAATCGACAAGCGAAAGGAGAAGAATCATATCGAGAAAATTTTTCTCCTTACAGATCCATGATTTCAAATTATAACAACGAAAATTATACAGAGCCAAGTAACCGAGTTTATCAACCTGATCCGAGATACATTTTAAACTATTCAAATGGATGCGGACCATACAATGGCCGTGAAAATCCAACGAATCCGCATGGAATTTGGCAAATGCCGTCATTCTGGAAAGCAAAAGAAGAAGATACAGTCCCTTTGTATTTCGACAAAACAGAGCGATCAAATTCACATTTGACTTTGAATACAGCAAGCATACATGCTAACGGTATTTCATTAAAAGAATCTTCGACATTGACATCTGAACAAAACCTCTCTGATTTTGGGAGACAATCTTCAAGTTTCGATCGAATAAACGGTAGGTTTAAGATTTTTTGTTTTGAAATTAGTGTATATATATAAATATGCTAAATTTAAACCCTCAATTATGTGACTTTGATCTTTTTTATGTAATTCAAAATAATTATATATATATATATATTTATACAAAAAATCTCCGAATTTTACACGTAAAAAAATAGCTATACAAATATTGGCTTATATCGATAGAGAGAAAACTAAAAGATTGTATCACTGTAAAATAAAATTTTTTTTATGTATTTATTCTAGGAACTTAGAAAATATGGACAAAGGCATATTTATTTAAATATAATATCTAGATATTGCAAAAGGTTTTGGGTGACTACCTTGAATATGAACAAATGACAACTGAATAGACGTTGCGTGTTCGTCTCGGCAGGCAGCATTTAATTATATGCGCGCTGGTGGTCGCCCCCACTAGAATTATTCCACACGACAGATTTGCGTAACTGATAATTATTTAAGGCGTTAGTGCAAATAAAAGGTTTCAAAATGACATGTCATGGCGTCGATTCCGGATCCAGAAAGTTTTTGTGAATTTGCCAATTGAGCGCATTATGTCAATGTTGAAATAGATTTTGTATCCTTTCCTTCAGTCATTCAAACAAAAATGTGCGTTCAAGCGATACATATTCTGGGATTTATTATTGAGGTTTCAGCTTTATTGGGATCTTGTCACCATAAATCTTATTGTCAACATACGTTAAAAGCGCACTGTGATTGGGAGCATTGTTGATTAAGCAATATATTTGTCAAAACTTTGTTCATACGGTATTATAACTAATCGAATTTTTATAGTGTGTTTTTAAATGTGCAATACATTATGATGAATTATAGTTCTATACATGTTTTGTGAACCTCAATAATTTTTGAAAATCGAACAAATAAAACAATGTTATATTTATGTTGTTCAGGCATACATAGAAAAGAAACACTTTCGACTGATGTGAAGAATGCAAATTCATCTTCACAGAAATTTGACGAAATGCCATATTCAAACAACAGTGTGCCAGCGGTTGACGTGAACCCTCTACAAGGAAACACCCATTCCGGAAGCGCAAGCGAAAATGATGAAAGTGTCTTCGAGACCGATTCCTTTTCGTCCCATCAAAATGGCGGCATAACGCATGGGGAAGCGTCGCCATTGTCGAGTGATGATGACGCACAGTCTTCAGATATTCCGCCATCAAATTCCTCAAACAACAGAGAAAATATAAAGAAAAATAAGAAATGCAGAAAACCAAGAACCATTTACACTAGTTTTCAACTTCAACAGCTCATGCACAGATTTCAGAGAACGCAGTATTTAGCATTGCCGGAACGTGCCGAACTTGCGGCTTCCCTGGGTGTTACACAAACTCAAGTAAGATTATTCGTTACACTTTTCAAATGTTATCAAAAAATGTAATCTATATATATATAAACTGAAATCTCATAAATTCGAGTAAATATTGTTACGTGTTTACTGTCGCGTAGAAGAATTTTTCGTTATTAAATGTACCACCCGGGTGTAGTCGGTGGGAAATGGCAAGAATAATTTTAAGTTCAGTTCAAATAGTTCAGTTCTAAACATTATTCAGTTCAGTACATTATTGAAGTTAGCTTTATAACATGCAACAGTAAATCCGTTTTGTGTAATTCAAATTCATTGTAGTGTTCATGTTAATAAAGAAAAACAACAACAACAAATTAATTTAATCACAATTCATAAAATGACAGAAAACGTACATTGCCTATGCCAAAACTTCGTATTTTAACAAATTGTTCTTGTAATACGTAATTTTTTTAAAATGTTTGCAAAAATAAAGAAAATTGCGCTTCACTATAACGTCCAGTAAAAGGTTAACTACCATTCCTAAATATACCTTCATAAAAATTGCTCTTTCCGGTTTAATAACAAATTCATGAACTTGATGCATTGCAGTCTATTTGTCATTGTTTAGAATAAATTTAAGAGCAATTTTCTTCTAATGAGACGCAAATGACAAGACGTAAATTATTAATCAGGAAGATATCAAATTTTGTCTTAAACGGGACACTCGATTATCATGAGATACAAACAAGAAAATTCCGTGGAAATTGTAACCCCGGCGACCTAAATGTGTAGCAAGAATTCGAAATTCGCTAACGCCATTTTGCCAATTGAATAATACAAAACAAAAATACCCCACAGCAATCATGTGATAACATTTATTCAAAGTTTATCATTTTTTGAATCAAAGATATAACATCATGCTCTTTTTTAAAATGAATAATTACGATCATACACGGCTATTAAAAATATCCGATATTAAAGTAGCGCTTATCACAGTATGTCATCCTATTTTTGGAAATATATATCATTATTATTAACCAAAAAAACTCTGATGTGAGGACTGATCTTGGTACTCGAACTTACGCCAAACAAACAAATGCTAACTTCTTTATCAGATATTACCTGCCGCCCCCTTTCTTAACCGACAAAAAATCCCTTTCCGATGAGGGTGCTAACTACAGGATGGGTATGATTTAATCCATTCTTTATCACTCAATCTGGGGTATAAATCTTGGTGCTATTTATCTGATAAACAAGATGCACAGAATTGGGCATATCAGTATCCCGTTCTGATGAAGTGCACAGACAGAAAACCACCTTTTAACATACCTAACTCTAGTCTCGCTATGACAATTTAGTAAATTTGTCTGTTGCGCTTGTCGTATTTATAGAGTAGGAATCGAATGGCTAAATGGGTGAATGTTATGGGTAATTTGTGATCAAACTACGCGAAATTTCGTCCAACGGTTTCGCATTGTCGTTCAAATTACTACTAAATTACTCCAATTTATTCGCCTGCTATACCGATTACGCAATTGAAGGGAGAAATTAGGATATTTATCTCGCGGTATGAGCCAATTCAAAAGTCTGTCTACATAAGAGGTAAATGTACACAACACCCCGTGGCTATATATAATTGTTTTTGACCCCGCCAATATTTGAATAAAAATGCAGTTTGCTATAAATCCGTTCAGGTATTCAGAAAGCAATGTTCATGAAATATTGTGTGAGTATTATTTGTCGTTTGAAATTTATTATCACATGTGGATGGTCATAAGGGTTAAAAAATAAACGATTGATTTAGCTACTGAATTACTTAGATGAGGCTATTTGTAACAACTAACCCATAATTTATTTATGTTAGATCATTTACCGGTACTTGTTACGAGTGTTGGTGTATATTGTAGCTTACGTCAATGCTAACGATTTGACGGCACGTATAATACTCATTGACTATTTATTCTTGCATTTTACTATTAGCTCTTATCAATAAAAGTAAAATATATATAAAATATATTGAATAATTCAACTCAGGTCTATTCATATCATCATTTTTGTGACATTTTAGGTTCTCCAATTGTTGAATCACGCGACTGTCTTCAAAATGTCAATTGTAAAATTTATTTCTCAATTTTCTAAAAACATTTACTTTGTTTATGTCATCATATTGAGCAGTTTTGCCTAATTTTATAGTAGAATTTTCGGGAATAAAAAAGAATTTTTCTGGTTCAAAAATTAGTTTGCTTTGCTTTACCGCCTTTTTCATTATAATTGTTTCAACAACGACTTGTACTCGCTTGTATACGCCATATAAAATCATTGAGATCATTACAATAAATTCAATTTAAATATTGAATAATTTTCTGAATTTTAGGTAAAAATTTGGTTCCAAAATCGGAGATCGAAATGTAAGAAAATGTTGAAGCAGCAAATGTTGCACAACCAACATGGATCTCCAAGTAGTATGCTGTTGACTTCACGTTTAGGATTTCCACAGGCAAGATCGTCGACATTGTCGGGACAAGAGTTTTCGTTGCCCATCACATCCTACAGCGATATCACCGGGTATTCCGGATACGACTATCAGTCGAATATACACGAAATGCAGAATCCACGCCATTGGGAGATATCGCACCAAGCTTCGGCTGGTTTGCGTCAATTGAGAAGCTATACAAGCGCCTCTGATTATCCTCGGTCGCACACTATACCAGATAGTCGACGAAACATTCAAGAAGAGACCACAAACTCCATTCAACACATACAATCTCCAACGAGTATGGGATGGAACGGTTTTTCTGATTATCGAAATTCGAAAACAAATCATTATAAACCGAACGTTGGAGCAGATTTTCAAACAAATTCCAATATTGTCATGCAACCCAGCAATGCAACTGTTAGCGAACTTCAACATACGGTAGTTGATTTCCAAAATACATCCAACAGAATAACTAGTTGGAATTAAAAAGCAGTAAATGTTTGATTTTTGATTAGGAAAAAAATAGTTTGTTCCCCGTTCGAGAAAGAAATGAAACAATACGTGAATATGGTCTATGCGTTTTGCATGATTCAAAAACAAAACTGCCGGTGACATGTTGTTTAGTTTATAGGAACGAAGTTCTGTTGGGTTGTTAGGAGTTGGGACTATAGTAAATTTGTGGTAATTGACCGATATTTTATAATAACTATTCATGTATCTTTGTGATTAAGGTTTATCGAAATATTTTCCAGCAACGGTAAATATGGGAGCCAAATTTTCTATGATATCAATTTCAATACTGAAATTCAAACAAAACAATTCAATTTCTTGCTCCACAATACAAATGCTTGAATTTCTTGTTTTTATTTCAAGTATTTTCTGAATGTAGCCTTCATTGTTTTCAGATAAAATGATAGTCATTGAAGTAATTTTACTTGCATTCAGGCCAAATATTGGAACAAGCATTTGCACATTTTAATAAATATAGAAAATTGAAAATACTCTAGTAGATATATTATGTTTTAAATTAACCGACCGCGTGAATATTAGTGATAAAAAGTCAATGACGTCGTCCTGATAACCCCCAACTCAATCGCTTTATCCGTATGTAAGGCGCTAACGGATTACATATTAGTAAAAAGCGGTTTCTCTAGTAATTATTTTACTAGGGGAATAAAATACCATGTTCATTTTCCCTAACAACACAATTTATAGTAAAACCGCTAAAATGAATGAACACTGAAAAAAATATATTGACTTGAATATTCTATATCGAACATCAATATATTATTTTTCTAGCAGAAAATAGTTATTATTGTAGACAAAAATTTACTAAAACGCGTCAGTTGAAGATTTTCTGTGACCCGTAAATTTTCGTCGCCCAGGTAGGCGCTTATTATGTACGAAACAAAGAAAATACTTCCGTTTAATATAACAGAATAGCAACTCTTTTGCAAATCCAAGGATAAAGGGTAAAATTATTTGTACTGCTATAAAAACGTATCAAAAACAACATTTTTTATTTATTTTAATACTGGGCTAACTCCCGCACTGAACCGTTGTCGGAGACGAAGCGATAAAAATTCTGTTCAAAGCCTCAATTAATAGATCGCGCGTTTGGAATACTATCTAATTGTTTGGGATACAATAATAGTATATTCTAGCATTCCTGTGAAATTCTATTTAGGTTATCAAGGTTTCCATACCTCATAGCATTTATGGGCTCTGGCAATAAAAACCCTTATGATATTCGATCCTTTTCGTAAAAAGCAAAAATTGGATTTGCATTTTGATGTGAAATAAATTCACGATCACAAGTACCGGTAAGTAAGTGGACCTTTCGAGAATAAAAAAATGGAACAGTCCAAATCCAGTTCAATTGCTTGATTGAAATCGGATATATGATAATTATTGAGAAGGAAAACCAATACTCGAAATACTCCGAGGGCGCGGAATTACCAATATTACGTTACAGAAATCGAAAGAGAATAATCCACATTTTAAACGGGCAATTTTAACACAGGTGAAAAACGAGAACTGTAACCTTTGAGAAAATCTTTGCTTTTATTGTTTCAAATAATATCTCTCTTCTTTTATTTACTGTTTTTATTTTTGAAGTTTCTCATTGTTCAAACACAATCGTAACAATCAAGTAACAAATATTGGAATATAGATGATCGTATAACATGGCGGCATATTTTAAATAGATGTCGTTAAAGTATCCTAGAATATGTATTGCAAAAACAGACTTTTCGGATCAAAGGATCATAATTTCACATAATATTGAAAACAAAAATACTTCAGAAATATTGAGATACGCTTTATTAAATTCCCTGATAAAAATCATCAAAAAGTGAAAGGCCCTCGGTATACAAGCTATATTGAGACCTCTTGCAATCCAAAATTTTAAAAAATAGTTTCCATGTGTTAAGGTTTATTTTTAAGTTTACAATAATTGTGATAACGCATAAGATATAGGAGTTCAATTAGGAATTTGCTAATTTGCTTTGCATGCACAGGCTAACAGATTAGTGTATTTACAGGACCATTCTTTGCATCACTACTCAGGTATTTACAGCTGCATTATACGAAAAAGAAATTTAAAACAGTTGCAAGATAAGATTATTCTCGCTTTAATGTTTACGTTTGTGGAGACATCCAGGCATTTTCTGTCCGACATAATCCATCTATATTAATTTATTTCGTCATCAAACAGCAGCGGATCTAGTTTTAAATATTTATGTGGGAATGGCATTTTGTAACCGTTTACAGGTGTAATAGATCCTAAACCCATCGATTTAAGTAAGAATTGCCTACAAAACGACAATCGACATATAGAGCTTCGGAATGTGTTGCTCCAATTAAAAGCTGATAAATAAAAAAAATTTACGGAAAACTGTCAAAGCAATATACACAATCTTTCAGTATTATTATTTATTTTTAAGCGTAAAATATTATGCCACAAAAAGTTGTTCTACTGTGCACAGTGTTACATGTTGCAAATCACAATATATATAACAAGTAAGTTTATTATATGGTCTATTTCAAAAGATACACAACAGCAGTCCAGTCTAGAATTTGAAATTGGAACGTAATTGGAGTTGCATTTTTAAACTCTACAGAGTCGCAGTCCGAACTTTGAACTGGCACAACCGAAGGGCTTGCAAATAGTAAAAATTATAGCTAAAACTTAGTTGATACAGATTCAGTGTCGATTTTTCTTCAATATCCTTGTGTTAGATGAAACCTTCGCCCTATATAATACCACAAATCTGCTGTATAAAATTTGTACAATAGATCGGCGAAACCAGATTAGTGTTTCATCTAGATATTTATCAAAACTACTCTATGATCTGCATGATTTAAGCGCAATTTTTGTGGTTATTTAATCAATTCAATTCACTTTGACAATTAACAACTTTTAAAATTGGCAACGGTCCGTTTCAGTATGTTATTGAACACGAAATGTCAACAAGAATTATCTTGCTGAACATTTTTTGTTGTCGTTATTAATCTGGATGTTAAGCCAATTTTTGTTGAGAGAAAAACCAATTTATCCGCAATGATCCAATTTATATCTGATTGCCATTGCTTGAAGATGTAATACGACTCCAGAAGCCTAGTACTTTTATCTTTTTCGAATAGACTTCGAGTCTTATGCATAATAATTTACATTGTTGTAAAATTTTCTAAAACGCTACCTTGTAGCCATAAATAAATATTAACTATTAATTTATAGCCACTAGATAGCGTTTAAGAAAATTTTCGTTTGCCACCGTTGTATTCAAAAGTTATACTTGCGTTGAGATATTTATACAACTATATAGGCGCAGTAGCTTTATATCGGTATATTGATATCAGTGATGATTTGCTAATATTATATTTTTTTACACACACAGGGCTTCAAAACAAATAAGATCCCAAATAAATTTGAATGAGACAACTTGACTGTCCCATAATCTGACAACTGAATTTTTCCGCATGCCGATTGCCGGTCTCTTCATTTTGGCGTTTAAGGCTCGCATCGTTGTCATTGGTCTCTGCGCTCTGGACTTTGTGTTTAGTATGTGACTACTTTTTTTCATGTTTCATCAAGTTTAAGTTGGAATAAGTGGTCACAGAAATAGATTAAATTGTGAGTATAAACTGACTGTCGGAATAAACATCCTGATGCTCATTACTACAATAGCAAAGTCTCGGCAACATAAAGGTTGGATGATCCATTTTTTTAGGTGTTTAAGATATTACCCGCATATTTAATAAGGCTATATCATTTCATATTCACAGTTCGATGATAGCGCCAGTTATTACATCACTATAATACTCGATACTTCATCCGAACGTTTGCTGAAAGCACTTTTTCATTCATTCAAGCGTGACCGCCTCTCCGTTTGCAAACTAGTTGCTAGATCAACGCCTTTACAGTACCGACGTGATGTTCGTCAGCACCATCTGTCATAGTTTGCAGGATTTGATAATCTATTTCAAAATCGATAGATAGGGGTGAGAATAGTATATATCAATATTCACGTCCAGCAAAGTCGAGTTCAGCAAACGGAGATTTCTCGTACCGACAAATTTGCTCAAGTATGAAACGTTTTACATAAGAAGGAAGCCAATTTTCGGCACGCAAAAGTTACCTACCGGTATTTCATGGAATGGTAAAAAAAGAAGGCTATTCCTATGTGATAACTAATGTGTCTAACCCACTTAGTCTTGTGACATAGCAACTTATGTGAGAATATCAATTATCGCTGGCCAACTTGTGCTTTTGTGCAGTAGGCCCGTTACGTACTTATGACATTACTAAACAAGTAAACATTGTGCCGTTGGCGACTTGATTGAAATATGTTGCTGTCTGGTCTATAACACATAGACCAAAGACTTTCCATTATCTTTGATATTTCTGGATATCAGTTTATTGCACGTTAAAACTTGTCGAAATCTTGCTATATGCAAAAAACGGGACAATTGCGGAATCAAAGTGGTTTGTTATACTGCAATGAGACATTTCTCTGGTTCACGCAACTTCAAATTTACTCATTGACAAAGCTACCTAGTATTTACCAGTTTGGGCTTGCCAATAAATAAAAACGAGAAAATCGGTCAGAGACCGAAGACTTATCGATCGAAACTGCGGTTTCGATTCATGCCTCTACTATAGTGACACCGCGTGTCACATCACTAATTAATTGATACCTCGCTAATTATACGACATAATTCATCCAAAATCAATAGGCTTCTGATCCGAGTTATGATGAATGCACATGCAAAATTTGGAGCAGATTCAACCTCGCCTTCTTGAAATATCGCGTTCATCTATCAGACAAACAAACTGACATGCAGACAAATACCTATCAACATACTTACCGATCTTAAAATCGATAAGTAATAGGCCGCAGAATCGTCTAAGGAAGAGAAATTTCCATCCGAGGTTAGGAAAGATATGAATCCACGATTAGGAAAGAAAGGTATCTCATACGAAATGACAGCTGCGCGAAACGTGATTACTTGCGTACCGCAGTCCTTGTTGTCGTATTAGTGTTTTCCAATATTATTGCAAACGGGCCTCCTTATCGTAATTACTTTCCCATCCGCAAAATTCTCGATTTTTTTTGAGTAAAAACTAGTTTTTAAGGTAATTTCCAGCTGCTGAAAATTCCCTTCTAAATATATATCCGTTTTCTGTACAGTGTTAATTTCAAGTTTTCAAATATCATGTCAATCAGAATCTACTTGCACTTGATCATAAAGGATATGGTACGTACGAATGTACTGGGGGCAATCGATGTGCGGTTCCAAATTTGTTGGTGAAAATGTATGGGTACAAATGTTGCTGTGTGTAAAAGTATTCGGGTGCAAATGTGCTGTCACCAAACCATTATGGTTTCACAGGCGCAAGGTGCTACGGGTTATATATATATATAATCGTGTTTCGAGTGGAAGTGTACGTTCCGTAGCAGTTTTCGTTTAACTGAGCTGATTATGAAATGCAATTATGCATTATATTTAAGACGGAACTGTTGGACTTCATAACAAGTTGTTTCTACCTGGTACCCCGAGAACATTATTTAACTTTCGAACATTTTGCTGATTAGGTTTCACTCACGACAGATGTGTCAAAAATCTCAGATAATTGCATTGTTAACAAAGGGAGCTTTGTTTCACAAGAACAACAAGCAACTAGTAGATTTAAAGAATTGTTTCGCAGATAAATAACCTTTGCGAAATTTTTGTCATATCTCTACAAAAAGTTCTCAACAAAGTTTTTTTGAAACTTTCAGAATGCAAAATTCTAATTAGCAAAAGTATTTGATTTTGCCAATTCCCATTTCAATTTTTATTTGTGGCATAGTAAGTCTTCAATGCAGTACAATATTCACTATCCTCAATATATATAAAGCTGCCATGCTGTAAGCATGGCGGCGGGATCGTTATCTAATAGTTTAAAGTTGCTACAGTCATGATCCTAGTAATACAGTTGTAAACCTTCGATCCCCAATGTAATCAGATTTGCAGTTGTTAAGAACCATGTTCTTAGTTTCCAGATAATATTTATGGATGGAATGTTTGGTGTTATGACTAGGACATAATATCATCTTAGATTTCAATCATTACATGTGCAAAACGTGATTTTAATGCATAAAAGTTAGGTATATGTCACACTAAAAATAAGTAGGCTGAATGCACTAAATGTAAAAATTCGCTCTATTGCGGGATGCGCAACTCATTCAGGATTTTTTTGGCAATAAAGGAGCTCTTAAGCTTAACTACACAGTTTTAGATCTTAACTACAAAAAACACATGCAACCCCTAGGTTCCATTATTTTTGCACCCACGTGCATTGCACCCGTGAACTGCACTCAGGACAATTGTACCTGCATCATTTTGCACCCACTGGCATTTGCCGTCACGGACAAGGGCGCAAATGTCTATGGCTGCAAATGTCCGTGGGTGAAAATTTCGCTGTGTGCAAAAGTATGCAAGTTCGTGGGTGCAAAAGCGCTGTTACGAAACCATTATGGTTTTACAGGCGCAAAGTTCTGCAGAATATATAAATATATATATATTTCGTGCTTCAGGTGGAAGTGTACGTTCCGCAGCAGTTTCCATTTAACTAAGCTGGTTATGAAATGCAATTATGCATTACCTTTATTTAAAGACGGAACTGTTGTTCAGACATTGGAATTCCATAACAAGTTGTTTCTACCTGGTACACTAAGAACATTATTTACCTTTTGTACATTAATAAAACATAATTATTCTTAAACCATAAATACCATACATGACTTCTCAAAATTCAGTATCTAATTTACATATTTCTCCAAGTCCGATTCTTCGCTCGCTTGGAATTAGAAACAAGAGATCCATGCTCAAATATATGGACACGCAAGACGAAACGAAATATTTTATCACCATTGCACCTATATATATAGGGTATCCTGAATGAAACTGAACAGTGAAGCAGCTACATGGCTATGTTACAGTGTCTTACTCAGTATGGCACAGTTTACCGATTCTAAGAAAGCACCAACAATAAAATATATTATTTATAACAGTGAGTGCAAGCCCCTCTTCTACGAGACAGTTACGAGTTAGTTCAGTGTCACCGCGCTGTGTTATGGTACCGGAACTGCCCTATCTGTAGAAGTTCCTGTCTTGTGACAGGAATTGAAATTGAAAGATGGTCCGACTCACAACTGTAGTTACACCATCGATCCGAGGTACTACTGTAATATAACATCGAGTACGCGCTGTTCGCCATTCCCCATGAACAAATCTTAGCAAAGCAAGAATTACGTTTTACAGGAACCACCGACGTTCAATGAGCACGTGTTCAAAATAACAAAAAGAAGAGTGCCAGCATTAAAACAAATCCATTACGTGTCAAAAAACGAATCCCACAGTGCTAACAGAAATAATTGAATTGAATAAAAGCAATACCTTTTTAGAAAAAAATTCCATCTAACCACTGAAAATTTTGAAGAAATTGGTCCAGTAATCAAAGAGAAAAGCGACTTTTTAAGTTTTCCACTAGGTGTCCAAAAATAATGCAAAACGATCGTTATGCCCACTAAGTTGAAAAACAATCTATGGCAGTAATTGGAGCAAGGCGACACTGGCATCACAAAACTGATTTGGAAAGTGTCAGTTATTCGTTTGATTTGCGCCTTAAATAAAAGAAAAATAAGATGAAAGACTGAATTCTCTGAATCCTTTTTTTCTATTATTGAATGTAAATTAGATAATACAGTTTTGAACCAGACACCCTATTATGAATTTCATCTTCTCTTCTTCTGATGTGTTAGGAAGACTCGATTCGCCCCTTTCAATCGCTATAGAGGGTAGGGCTGGGAATTTCATGGAAAACACTTTAACCGTTAACCGGGTAAAATTGACCGGTTTCCCGCGGCGTGACGTTTCACGTAATGAATCATAATTTTAGCTTGTTCCGTCACAATGATTACAAAGACGTTTAGCTTGATCTTATCCCGCTATCGCTCAAAATTATTCACGAATCGAGATAGTTTCATGAGCGCTCTGCTGCAAGAGATATGCAGCGGTGGTATTTTAGTAAAACCCGATTCCGTTATTAAATGTCATTTATGTTACAAATTTTCACTGTTCGATGTGAAAATTCTACCTGGAGATATCATAAAAAAACGGCAGCAACTGCGCACTTGTTGGATGACATTGAATATACGATTTTGCAATAAAATCGTGAACAATATATTTCGACCGAAAACCGATTCTGAATTTATCATTGTGACATTTTCATATTCAGCAATATTGGTACTTCAATTATTTTCCCTTACCAATACAGTTAGGGATGTTCTAAGATAAATTTGTGATGACGCAATCATTTTTGAAGGAATTGTACACTATAAAGATGATTTGTACCTGAGATATTAGTTAACGGTTAAAATAAATCGTAACCCTTACCCATCTAAAATCGGTTAACCGGTTAACCATTCCCAGCCATAATAGAGAGACGTGACTTGGGATTCGAAAATAGTTCTGATCATGTCTCTAGAATATTATTAAATCATTGGTAGAATGCGATTCATCACGTAGAAATTATAATAAAAATCAATCTTGTATTACATTTTTGTAGCAATGCACGAACTTTCGCAGTAACTTTGGTTTAACGTTGGAGATGGAAGTCCTACTGTCGATGTGACCCACATTTATGCATTTCACTTTTGTTTCTGAAATCAAGGACATAGTGACAAACGTACCGTTGAGAATACGATACGAATTTTCAATTTAAAACTCTGATTCGAAACCAAAACATTTGCTTTAATTATCAAAGATAGACTATACAATTTGTATTTTTTTACTCATACTCAAAGGGTTCTATGCCCGCATCTGAAAATAGGCTACATCTGAGTAGGCTACACCCTAAACTTATAACATACACTTACAAAAGTATTAGCATCAAATTCAAAAAGCCAATACTCTTTGTATATATATATGCTATTTTGATACGTTACCGACTTTTAAAATAAAATCAGATTACTTACAACAAAGACCCCATTTCTCTTTAACGCCGCCGCCGTCTATAAGCTTTAATGGACTAAATCAGTTGATGCAAAATATTGAGATGGACTAATGAGAAAATTTCATTTATACGATAGTCTTATGATTCAGAGATTGATAATCCTATAATCAACCAGGATTTACTTCCTTTTTTATAGACGTTTCGATAGATCGGAACTCGAGTATGCTTTGCTTGAGAAGGCAGCATGGCAGCAGTCGGAGCAATGTGACATTGGTGTCATAAAACTGATCAGAAAAGTGTCAATTATATTATGTTTGATTTGAGTCTCGAAAAAACTATAATGGAAGAATACCAAGTAATATAATTATTCAATTGAATACGTTTTTAATGTATATACGTACGCTCTTCCTTAAAATGATGTTCTTATAATATTACACAAAACGATGTGCCATATAAATTTCCACTTTTTGCAAATATCTGTAGTTATCTTATTTTGTAGTAGACACAAAACGAATAGTTCAATTTTAATTGCGCGGTTCATCACGTTCGAGTCGAGCCATATTTCCCGGACAATTGGAGTCTGAAAAAAAGTCGAGTCGATTGTTGTCTTGGTCTTTCTAACACTATTGTCTACTACTCTCGTCTATTTCGTTAACTACATATAACAAAACTTCACTTGTCATTTCAAACGAAACTTTGGTCTTTGCCTATTGTTATTATGAAAAACCTATTAATGAATTTGTACTCGCATGTTTTAAATAAATTAAATTCCACCTTTATTCTCCAGCGATACCCTGACTTAACTTGCATCGATCAAACTGTGCGACTAATGGCATCGCTGCGTTATAAAGTGGTTTATTCGAGTTGTTAAATCGCTCATTTATCTATTTTCTGATCCATTCCTACCTGTTTCTTCGCAAAGACATTTACTTTTTTTTTTTCTATTTTTTTGAATAATTAAACATTAACATCATTATTACTGGGAAGGACTAAGATGCCGATTTCTAAGCTAACCGATGTTTTGTTAGTAGGCTAAATGGTCCAAACTACAATAGCTGAAATGCATCTACTTGAAGCCATTTAATTGTGAAAATTTTCAAGTTCAAAATTTCAATTAAATTCGATATTTATATTATGTCGGTATTTCTCGAAAATATTAAAAAGACAATATCTGGCATAAAATGATAATTACAGACATAAAAGAATGACCGTTGACGCTCTATAATTGCATAAAAAGTGGTAAAATATTCAATTATTGATTAGATTATTTTTTCTTTCCATAATATAAAGAATTAGAAACATTTTCTGTGTACGATTGAAGGGCCAGATTCGTCATATTCTTGTTTGGAGATCCACATCTGTTGGAAGGTTGAAAGTGAGGCAAGGATAGATCCTCCGATCCATACGGAGTATTTTCTTTCGGGTGGAGCGATGATCTTGATCTTCATTGTACTAGGTGCTAGATTGGAAATTTCTTTCTGCATACGGTCGGCGATACCAGGGTACATGGTGGTTCCACCAGACAAGACGGTATTTGCGTACAAGTCCTTACGAATGTCGACGTCACATTTCATGATGGAGTTGTATGTGGTTTCGTGAATTCCAGCGTTTTCCATTCCCAAGAAGGATGGTTGGAACAAGGCTTCTGGGCATCTGAATCTTTCGTTTCCGATGGTGATGACTTGTCCGTCTGGAAGTTCGTAACTTTTTTCGATTGAACTGCTGGTGCCAGCAGTTTGCATTTCTTGTTCGAAGTCAAGACCGACGTAGCATAACTTTTCTTTGATATCACGAACAATCTCACGTTCAGCTATGAATAAAATATAATTATGTGTCAATGAAGTGCCATATGTGATGACAATTTAATTAATTTTTCAGTAATAACGCTGAATAGTCAATAAGTATTCTACAAAAAAGAGCGTATCAGAAAAAGTGGTACGTTGCAGGCAAATAGGAATAGGAGTCAGTGTATGACCCTGCAGGAAAAGTATTACAGCAACAATATGATTACTGATTCGATCTTGATCGGTAAGTATGTTGATAGGTATTTGTTTGTTTGTCTGCCTGTTAGACACTTTGTTACGCGATATCTCACGAAAGCGAGGTTGAAGTCGGCGGTCTCCGGTCGCTATCTCGTGGGTTTATTCATAACGTCATGTGCAATTATCTCACATTAGGTGTGTCGGTATAACCTGCTTTATATCTATAATTTACTACGAACTATAAAGAACTATAAATTCGTCCCGATAGCACATTTTCTGTCAGCGATTCCGCTTCAATATTAAACTAAACCAAAATTGAACGTCTGCTTGGCCACAATTCGGCTTCATGTGCTATCCAGTGCAGGTCGAAATAAGATTTGAAAGAACATATTTTGACATTTCACTTTCTGAAATCACATATCCTTCAAATGCTGTTACCTACCTGTTGTCGTGAAAGAATGTCCGCGTTCGGTCAGAATTTTCATCAAATAATCTGTCAAATCACGTCCAGCCAAATCCAGGCGGAAGATAGCATGGGGTAGAGCGTATCCTTCGTAGATGGGTACAGTGTGTGAAACGCCATCACCGGAATCCATAACAATACCTGAAAAAAATATATATTTAAGTCATGCCCAAACGATATTTGCTGACTGTAACGAATCGCCCAAATACTTATCTGGGCCTACTTTATAGTGGGCCATAAGCGCCCTTGTATTAGTAAAAATGTTTCCCATTTTTTCATCGATTTATCATATTGCATAGGTGTTAATTAGACCAATTATTACTACCCGATACGAGACATGTATGATATGTTACTACAGTGAACGTATCATCGCAGTGTCGTTGTGTATTCTGTGATTCTATTCTTTTCTTAGACACTGAGAAATTGGGTATGTTTAATAAATTTGACAAGGAGGAAGGATTCTTTTAACCTGTGGTTCTTCCAGATGCGTAGAGTGAAAGTACAGCTTGAATATTGACGTACATTGCGGGGGTATTGAAAGTCTCGAACATAATTTGAGTCATCTTTTCACGGTTGGCTTTTGGATTTAATGGAGCTTCGGTAAGAAGAACCGGGTGTTCTTCGGGTGCTACGCGGAGTTCGTTGTAGAAAGTATGATGCCAGATCTTTTCCATGTCATCCCAGTTGGTGACAATTCCGTGTTCGATTGGATATTTGAGTGTTAGGATTCCTCTTTTGCTTTGAGCTTCATCGCCTACATAACTGTCTTTTTGTCCCATTCCGACCATTACGCCCTATAAAAGAAGTATATATATGTTATACTTGTTATAGCATAAAATCGTCATATTATTTGCAAGACATCATACCTGATGTCTTGGTCGTCCGACGATGGACGGGAACACAGCCCTGGGTGCATCGTCTCCGGCGAAACCAGCCTTGCACATTCCGGATCCATTATCAACAACGAGAGCAGCAACATCTTCATCCATTTTTTTTAATTATGTATTGTTTTCTAAACTAATGAATTATGCTTAAACTGTGATTAAAAAAGTCTTTTAACCCAAAAAGCACAGGTATTGATCGAAAGTTTTATTCGTCAGGAATTTTTTGTTGTTAAGTTTTTAACATCTCTTTCATTTTTAATTTGCTCTACATCGTATTTATTGTTTCAGGGTTGAATATTTAAAAGCTAGGCCATTCATTCCTTTTCATTAAATTATATCTATATATATGTAAATAATTTCGTTTACGACTATCCTTAAAAATTGGTTTCGAACGCGATATAAACGCACAATCTATCTTCCTCAATCTATAGTTCTTGTTGAAAATTACGACTTATCTTTTCCCAACTTTATCGCGACATTAGGTCTAGATGCGGAGTCTCCATACCCGAGCCTGAAACCCTTTAAATTGATTGGGCGGTATCGAATACATATAACGTATATACACAACGTGGCGATCCAAAATGTTTGCCAATCGCGATCTGCTTGCCTTATTTGGTGCCGAAATTAGTTCTTCAAACAAAACGGCGTATATTTGTATTGTAACTGCAATCAACCGATCTCGGGGTATCTCTTACGCTATGTTACGAGTCTTATGACACTGAATATCAATGATTACCTTAGACTTATACGGATAAACGCCATATTCATAATATTTATATCAAGGCTGTTGTAATCTGTTGAATTGGGTCCTAGTATGCTACGAGGTGGAGAGACAAACAAAGATTAATACATCAACTCAACATACAATAACCTTATGAGAATAGCTTGTGATAAAATGTTATGAGAAACGAGCCCAAATATAAAATGTCGAATGGTAGGTCACCCCATCCCACGCAGTCACAAACGCCACCAATATGGAGATGTTATATTAAAAGATTTGTTCACGCGGCTTATATGGCGCAGTATGACGTTTTTTCACAACTGTTTTAACTTATACGACTGCTGAATAAAATTAAAAACATTATGAAAAGTTTGCGGATTTCAAATAAACTGGCAAGAGCAACGGCCGATTGATTTCTCATTTTCCAAATTAGGATACTGTCTAAAACTTCATACCTTTTCCTGGCACTATGTTCCTCGTATACTAAGTACTGATAAGTATTTTCAACGTCAGCACTTCGATGCGTCTTTAAACATAGTCTGAAATATAATACACGGAATATATATGTTTACCTAGAGATCATGCCGATATAATATAAAATCATTCACACTTTCCTTATTTGGTACAAAGCATAACAAAGACAAACAAAAACGATAACGAGATTGTTTGCAGAAATGCGTTCTTCGCGTACCTCGACTGTATATTTAGTTATGGTGTCGCCTTGTATCATGAACCGTTATTAATAATTGAAATATTTCGGTAATTAGGAGGATTTGATTCATCGAAACAATGGGGCACATTTGAAAATCTGTGGGAGCAATCTATACTAAACAAAAAATCAGCATAAACATAGCGTGCGTCAGAGACACAAAGTCTGTACATCTTGTTGGAGCATTGGCAGTGACCCGTAACTTGTAACAGACGATATTTCTATGCCCACAAATCATTTGATGTGTGTACCCATCTATCTTGATTAAAATTCAATCGTTGACATAATGAAGGCCGATGCAGAGACGGTTCACATTTATGCATGCAAATATTGATACACAAACGATGTTTTCAGTATGCGATTTAACGGTAACACCACTCCCGTACCCGACAGCGAGTTGGGAAGGCATTTCCTGGTCAAAATTGAAAATGGAAAAATGAACACGTTTTTATTAAACTATCCATGAGTTTTTTGAGGCTAGGTATTTTACCCAAAATTTTTTTATCATATAAATTAAGTACTTAATATATAATTAAGTACTGTACGTACTTTCATATATATGACATTCGGTAGAGTTTTTTTTTATCTCAGCTATGGCATCCCCGGTAACCGATATAAATACGACCGACCAGTCATATCCGCCAGCCGTGCTAGTTAGATGAACTGACTTATAAACAATAAAATAGACATTGAGAACCTGCAATGAAAGATCGAAAATGTCAAAGAGGCGTAAGCGATTTCTTAGTTTGTTAAATACGCTGACTTAAAGACGCCCAGCAAAGCGGATGCCTCCGATCTTTCGGGGAATAAGATAATTTATTTTTAAATTCAATGGATGTACCCTACTTATACTAATGAAATATATATCAAATTCTGTAGAAAGCCAAACAGAGTGTTACGGTAATTTCTATAGTAAGCATATGAATATTAAGTACCAATAAAAGTCTCACTGACTAAAAAAGGCGTCGTTTGTGAAATAAATGGTTTGACGACTAATCGTCCCCCCTCGTTTGTTAAAGTTTCAAGCATTTGAACTGCCTATTGGGAAGGATGAATAGACTATCGACAAAGAAAAAACACGGATAAACAAGCGATTCCGGAATTCGTTACGATTATTTTTATCACGAAAACAAAAAGGTTATTTATTAACAAAAGATCTCACCGAGACATTTTAACAATAGATAAAACGAGTTTTCGTTGAGAATAAGATTATTTACCTTTTATTCGAACTTAAAAGTTTTGACGGTGACCATATTGATCACGTGATCAATAACAACAAATTGGGCCTTACTCTTGTAGCGAGAACATAAAGATATTTACTGTGTATTTTAATACATTTCACCAGTTATTGCTAATAGAGCATGTTTATTGCGTGAAACAAGGTCGTTGTTGCCCGATTTCATTTACTTCATGATTATTTTCAAGAAACGTTTGATGCGAAGAAAGTTGATGACGTATTTCCCACCATCGTTCTTTACTTAAACTTTCTTGGTCAATTTGGTTAGATCACAATATCACATATACATGCGTTAAGGTTTTAAGCGTATTTCGTTATCTGTTATTACGATCTGCGATTCACAAACATTTGGCATTACAATCTTATTGTAGGCTTATTTGACTTCTGAGGAGTTGTACATGCATGGGTAAAAGTAGATGTATGGAACCTAGTAAACTGTGATTTTTTTTTTGATAACAAGAGCTAGCCTATGCCACAAACATAAAAGCAAAAATAAGGGTACCATTCTCGCGGTACGCCTGAAATGAGCTGCTGGGGTATATTTTTTTTATCAGGGCCCCGGAGTTGAAAATAATTTACAGTCGAATACGGTTTGAAAAAGTTTTGGTTCGGACGCCAGGCAGGAATAATTTTGACTCCGACTTCCTACTCCAAATAATTCCGTTTGATGACAAAAGCTTTGGCGCATAAAAGCCCTCTATAATAGACGTTAAGAACGATTAGTAAACTTCAAGCCTTTTCAGTGTATTTAGAAAATTACTACTTTATCATCTTTGAAAATCTGCAAATCTGATTCCCGGTAGTTCGAGAATACGACCTCTGACTCGACAAACCTGGTCGAAAGTCTGCTGATGCCAGCCGAGAGTCTGCTGATTATCAACCGATAAAAACTCTCAGTCGCGTGACTTCCGCTCGTGCGTTTTAACTCCTTACAGACACTGCTTACGTGCCCGAATTTATCTAAATATGAAGAGAAGAAATATTTATTTGACAGATAACGTGTTCAACCGACTATATTTATTTCAACTCCATAAACAGATTTATACTCTGAGAGTGAGACATGAGAAAACGCCATCGTTATAGAAAATCCTTGTGAAATTAGATTGTGCTAACAGGTGGCCATGATTGAGAAATACACAAGGAAATGTGGTCGTCAAGTAATTCTTTATATACAATGCATGTAGCATAATATTTATCATTCATTCCGCAATTCTGAAACCACTAATATCTGAATTGCAGGAAAACTTATGAAGGAATTTGTTTTATTAACATGCTTGCTGTCCCGTTCGTTATTAACTAGATTACTAGACCTATAATTTTTTACGCTTATTTTGAAGCGTCTTGTGGAGTTGGCGCTTACAAACTAGCTTACCTGTTTGAAACCACCATTTTTTTTTATAAACATATAAAACCCCATGACGTTTATATGTACTAATAGCTAATTTTAGCCTAGTCCATCGCAGCTTTTCCTGGAATTTTTGAATAATAGAACCAAACTAAAGATCATCAAAAAGTCAAGATGACAATCAAGTTATGTATTTGATTTACAACTGATTTTTGAAAACAAAATACAACCGAAAACCGACAAATAACACGAGAAACCACGAAAAATGGCACACACATGATTGAATATCTGTCTGAACCAAAACTGTTTTGAATGGTTTGTATACGGAGAATGGAATCGATAATGGATGCATGGGTGTCCAACCATGTATTTTGCCGGCGTTTTCGTTCTTGGTGCAACATAACAAAGGTAGGCCAAGATTGTACTTGGGGGTAGCATTTAGAAAAAGATGACGCCGCATACTGTGCAATTTTCTAGATGCGAAACAAAATTGCAACCATCGCAGCTAAGGAAAAATTTGCGAAGGACACACGAACGCGTTCAATTAATGAAGGTGTTCACCCTCTTACAGTCTAGTAGACTACGGCAGTACAGCGATACGAGACCTTTATATGTCAGTCTTCTTGATGGTAAACAAAATCGATGTTCTTGAAAGTAATGTAGAATCGTGAGAGGAAAACTGTGTCTTTTGCTTTCTTTCTCCGGCTGCCACGCTGGCGGTCGGTTGTGTTGTCTGTTCTCTAGTGATGTTTTGTTTAATCTGTTTGACTGTTATATTGGAGTTGCTGTACAATAAACAACTAATCCGGAACCCTTGAGTCGGGCTCGGCGGTGTGGCGCATCGTGCTAAGCGTTAGGTATACGCTCGCCACCGCATCTCTGATTACCCTTCGCAGGTTCGAATCCAATGCGGGGATGATCATGTGCGAGAGGATTGCTGGACTCCTCGCCGCCGTAGGGTGGTTTACGTAACCGCTGGTCGGTTACGGCTTCCTCCACAGCGGCGTGCCTAGAGGGGGGCGGAAGGGGCATCCGCCCCGGGCAGCACGTTGTAGGGGTCAGCAAAACCATGCTGTAGAGTAGGCATTGTTATACGTGTTTTTCCCGATGTGTATCAAATCAAAAGCTGACATTATGTGTGACTGACTGTGATGATGGAGAATCAACGA